GGGCGCGCGCCCGCGCGGTGCCAGGAGGCCGGGCTAAGCCCGCCGCCGAGTTACACAACCAGCCGGGGCAGATCGCGCTGCTAATGCGAGTTCCCCAAGTCAGCCGAGCGGTGGGCAGCCCGGAGCCCGTCTCAGCCCAGCCCTGGCCCGGGAGCACCTGCCCCGGGATGCTGAGCTGCAGCGGGGGCTGGAAGGGACCCGCATGACATGGTTCCCTCGGGCAGTGGCACTGGGGGGCTCGTGGGGAGCCTGGAGCCTGGCATGGAACTGAGCGCTGCTGCTGGTGGCCACGCATCCTCCTAGACGGGGTAGGTACCGGGCTAGGTGCGGGGCTCCAGGGAGTTGTGCTTCTCCTGCCGAGGCAGCCCGAGAGGGGAGATGCGGTCTCCAGACACTCATCCCATCCCTAGGGGAGTTGGTACCAGACTCAGAGACCAGCCTTGCTGCCAGAGCCCTGCTCCCTTAATTGCCCTCTTCTGGTCTTAAAACATTTGCAACCCCCTTCTCCCCCTCCACCCCAAGAAAAAGAATTCGGTTCCAATCAAGGACACTCTCTAAATGACTTAGCCACCTGCATTCTGCTACAAAGACCTTTTACATCTGCACTTGAAAGGGAATCCTCTGAACTGTCATTCATGTTAAAATTCGACACTTATCACCAAGGACTTAACAAGACTTTGAACTTTCTCACCCATTACCAAGACAGTTTCCCCAATTATCACCTGTAATACCATTAACTCACAAACATCCCACTCTCCCTACCTTTAATATCAGCAATTCACAGACACTTACCTTCCTTCCTCCCCCTTCCCACCCCCCCGCATCCCCCTTCTGTTCTGCAATGTGATTTGTCCTTTTCATATTTGTTCATTTTTTTAAATTGTATCCTTTGGTATATATGGTTGTGACTACTTTCTTCCACTATTTGATCTGAGGAAGTGGGTCTGGCCCACGAAAGCTCATCATCTAATAAACCATCTTGTTAGTCTTTAAAGTGCTATATTGTCCTGCATTTTGGTTCCAATCAGTACTTTCCTGAGTGCCCGACTAGGGTTTAACTCCTGCCTTCAGCTTGCATCCTCCCCTCCCCTTCCCCCAGTTAGCTTCCACATATGTGTCAGCCACACATTCAACTCTAGTTATTTGTAAAATAAAAGTTCCACGCGTGAAAATGAGCGCACTGGCCATTGAGTAAAATGGTTGTGAACCAGAGAGAGTATACCATGATGCCATCTACATTTTTTGTTAAGCTCTAAGGTGCTGCAGGGCTACTTGCTGTTTTAAGTTGTTTTCAGTTACAGACTCACAGGGCTACCCTTCTGAAACAGAATATATTTTAAGCCAGGCTGGTAGTTTCAAGCTTACTTCTGTCAGAAGTAGCATCTTAACCAGAAGACTCATAACTTACCTGTGGAAGGTTTGGGGGAAGGGGTGGAAGCAAGTGACAGTATGTGTTCCAAATGCCATGCATAGTTGGAATGATAATATACCAGGGTGCTGTGAAATCATTGAAGGGAAATAATAAAAGAACAAGGGTTATATTGTGTTTGTTTTAGTGAAAGGAAAATTGATCTGCTCTAGGTTTACTTTCTGTTTTGAATTTCTATAATTCTGGGCATCTGAATGTACTAAAATTACAACAGGAAGAAAAATTAAAAGCCAGGTCATGTTCCTATATATAGAATCTAAAATCCAGGTTACAAAGTTACTCCTCCCAACATAAATAATGTGGCTTTTGATTTTGCAAACTCTTTACATTTAAAACAGGGGAATGTGAAGGCTTTTAAAGGTCCAAGTATGTTTCAGGTATAGATTTGTAAATGATAAGCCTAGATATATTATTTCTAATAATTGAAATCGACAATAGATTGCTCTGGCAAGTTCATATTTGAAAATCCTTTGGAAGCTGAGGTTATATGACTCATATAATGTCATATCTGTTTTATAGAACATTTGCCCTTTGTAAAATTCCATAATCCGGTGTAGAATTTGCAGCCACTGTATTTCCAGCTTTGCCAGTCGTCTGAACAGTCTTCAAGGTAGATCCCTCATAAGCAGATTTAAGAGCAAGCCTGTGGTCGATATGGGTGCAGAACTGACACTTAAATTCAAGATGGGCTTATTCTAATGGAAGTTGTATTCCTGAGCTAGGGAACTACTTCAGAAATTATATGGCTGAAGTCAGTCATTAAAATTTACCATACTTTGTCAGCCTCTCATGGTGTGGCATATCTTAGGAGGAAAGGGTTATTTTGTAACTTGATTTCTTTCCTCTTGTGCAGTGAAAGCAGAGATATTGATCTAATTAATGAGTTGTTCTATTTGTGTAGATGGTGAAATGTCAAGACACACTTCAGTTCTTAAACAAAAATACTGAGTCACTTGTGCTCTCCTCCCCTAATTTGATTGGATTGTATCTACTGGTACCTGAAACTTTGGTATAGCAACATGCTTTATATCAGATACTATTTCTGATACTTAAAATTTTACACTGTTCTTTGTAGAGTCATAACACTGTAATACGCATGATGGTAAATCCATATTTCTAGTATTTACTATAAAGACTGTTGCAGATATTGAACAGCCAGAAATGGAATCTGGAGGGGGAAAATCATTGTATAGTTCTTTTTAAACACAAACTTTACAGGCCAGAGTTCTCTGCAGTCATTACTGGGTCAGCAAAATCAGTTGGGGCTCTATGTACATGAGAAAATATGTTCCAACAAATATAGTTTGCCTATAATGTGCAAACCAGAGTAAACTAGTCGCGGAGGTATTGTATAGGTACACAACACCCTGTGGACTAATATGCAGTAATAATGATAGCACTATGGACTTCTTATCAGACAAGGCTCTGACGAATATAGCAAGCAGTAAAAGAGAAGAAAAGTATTCATCACCAGTGAAAGAGAAGTAATCCGAATGGTTATTAAAGAAAAGAACAGTTAAGGTAAAAATGAGTGTCCATTAGGATAATATTGGTGGGATGCTTTTACGTCTTTCTAGTTAACTCTGTTTTCAGTTGAAGCCCTAGAAATTACTAGGAGTAGAAACCATGGCGAATGTATAAAAGAGCAGAAGAATTTGTTGGTTGTTCTGTTTGCTTTGCTGAGTAAAAGAGTTCGATTGATTTTTGTTACTATGAAGTGAGAAGCTTTTGAGTCTAAAGTGAGTTAGTGTCAGTGGTTGAGACATTTTGAAAACAATTGAAATTTCACTGAAAAATGGCACACACAAAAAAGGAAGCAGGATTCTTTTCTCATTTCCCAAGCAGCTCTGCTGTGTCCAATGATTTTATCAGGTTAGCTTTCATGTTGAGCACCAGCATATTCAAAAGCAACTCAGGGTCAAAGATGACATTCAGCATGCAAGTGGTCCATAAGGAAAATCGCATGGTCTTGGAAGCTTGCATAGGCACATGAGTCTCCATCCCTAGAGGTGTTTAAGTCTCGGCTTGACAAAGCCCTGGCCGGGTTGATTTAGTTGGAATTGGTCCTGCCTAGAGCAGGGGACTGGACTTGATGACCTTCTGAGGTCTCTTCCAGTTCTATGGTTCTATTATTCTATGATTCTATTATTCTGAGTTGTCCTGCTTTAACCAAACCGATGTAATTAAAGCAGCACAACCTCCCTCATGTGGGTTCACTTAGACCAGTATAACAGAATGTATACCGATCTGGCTTATTCCCATATGGGAATAGGAATAAGTCACCTGTATAAGATACCATTATAACTGCGTCCACACTAAGGCTAGGTCTACAGTAAAGGGGAAGGTCAAATTAAGATACCCAATTACATAGCTGGTGTCAGTGTACCTTAATTTGAGTTTTCCTGCCATCCGCACACCAGGAGGCTGACTGGAGCAAACGCTCCTGTCAGCTTCGCATATTCCTCACAGGAGTACCAGCTGCCAACAGAGGCGCCCTCTGAGTTCAATTTAGCAGGTCTTTACTAGACCTTCTAAATCGAACTCCGGAAGGTCTATCTGGACGCCACCGATCTTCCCTGGAATGAAGGCATGGCCTAATAAGAGTGGTACTGGTTTGACTGTTTCAGTAAAAAACAAAACTAAAATTTACTCTCAAGCCAAAGTAGCTATGTCAATACAACATTGTGTAGAATAGGCTTTAATAATGTGGAACATGTTATTGAAATTATATACCACTAGCTCGTACTAGTTGCAAAAATCTGGTAAGGCAGTAACACAGAGATTCACTGACCCGTACTTCCCATGATAAGACCATTCCTACATCTCTAGTTACCTGACACACATTAGGTCAGATTCTGCTGTTTGACATATGCCTCCTCACTGAAGTACCATTGGACCAAATTCTGTTCTCGTTTGCCTTGCTGTCACCTCAGAGAGAGTTGTAGTTGTAGACAGGAGAGCAGAACTGTATCCAGAGAATGCAGCTATGTCTCCAAGGCCCAGGCCTTAGTGCAGAGATGCACATCCTGGGGGAGAGGTCTGGGAGGTGTGTGCCTCAGAGGGGTGCAGTGTTACGCAGTGCACCCCTGTATGGGGAGCTTTCTCCTTCTGGCTAGTATTTGTACCACCTTCTTCACCATGGCATCTGAGCACCGTGACTCTCTCTCGGTGGCAGCTGCCGTGGAGGGGGGATTCAGAGGAGCACAGGAGCTGTTACTCCGCCTCCTCCCCAGCTGTGCCTTCCAGATGAGTGCGAGCATCCAAGTTGTGGCTGGCCCCTTGGGTAAGGCAAAAAGGTGAGCAGCTTCATGCACCCGCACTTTGGATGAAATGCCCCTCCAGGCTGCCAGCCGGCACAATGTCGATTTACCACTCCAGTCCCCGGTTTGGAGCGGGCTGGCCCACTGCACTACCATGGTAGCCGACTCCACAGGAGTAAATGGAACTGCCTGGTGTGTAGATGCAAGGGGGGGGGGGGGGGGGGGGCATTCATAATAGATTTGACCTGCTTTGTTTTTCATTCCAGAGCTTTGGCCCCGTCTGTGCAAAGATGTGGCACCAGTTCAAATTCGGTCGGGTTTTGAACGGCTGCAGTTGCATTGGTGCAATTCTAATGTGCGTTCCAAAGCGGCCTATTTTGGTTTACACTAAACCTGTTCCCAAGTGATTTAAGCTGACCCTGAATAACCCACTGTTGCCCAGTGGCGTAGCCAGGGGCTTGCCCCTTCCGCCCATCTGGTGGTCCAGCCACACAGCCCCG